AAACTAATTGCACAGGAACCAGCCGACAGCGCTGCTAAGGAGGTTGTCTCCCCGGCTCTTCCAATGACTTAATGATTGTTTTTAATTAATTCCCCCTCTCTATTTGCAAATTGGAGTTTAAAGCCTTTACAGTAGGGCAGCCTTCCCTCTCAGCTCCATTCTGGTTGAGAGGAGTTTGCTGAGCTGATCCTTTCTTCTCAGAAAAAACCAACACAAACAAACCTCTGTTCATCCTATGCAAACAGCTGCAAGCCCTGATTTAATTAATAAAGTTTTATTATCATTATTGCGGTGCACTTATCAGTGTGTGACTGACTGACAGGCCTGGAAACTGGTTGACATAGCAGAGTGCCTACCCCTTGCTACTGTCCTCGGATCCTCCATGAGCTCTCTTCCAATATGTCTAATATTGAAATGTTAATGAATGACTGGGTGGCAGGTAAGGGACAGTGTGACTTCAGGTCAGTGTGACTTTAAAACTCCTGGGTGCTTTCCCCATCACACTGCTTAAAAATAAAACAAACAAAAAAGATTGTCCACAATGCCACTCAATACAGAAAAGCAACTACTAGGAGACACAAAATGATTGTCCATAATGCCACTCAATACCTTTAGGCGAGAGGTTTTCATGTGCATTTGTTGTTCTTTTTTTTTTTTTTTTTTTTTTTTCACTAAATTTGCACTAAACGTTCTTCTCAAGGTTGAAGTTGTGCTTTTTGAACATGCATCCACATTTGGAGTATCACAAACGTCCCATTTTCAATTTTGAGATGGTAACTGGGAGAACGCTTCTACCATGTCATGTTGAAATGAATCACAAATACTTCTGGAAAAGCAGTTACTGAGGCAAAGATGTAAGCAAAATCGGTTGTCCTGGGCAGCAATAGAAGGGCCCTGTTAGATCTTAAGAGCTTTCTAACAAGACAAGAAAAGCCCTCAGAGGAAGTGTGGAAAGGAAGTGGATGCTTGGGGAGGGGTCACAGAGCCACCACCCCCATCCGAGGACCACCCATCATCGAAACAAAGTCTGAGCCATGCTAGATGACCAGGACACAATCCTACCAAGTAATAATGCAAATAAATATGCTAAAGAGCTATGCGGATGGGAGACAGGGCCCCAGCATCTGTTTAACCTTCTGGGCTATGGCGGTGTTTGTCTCCCACAGAGACCATCACACAGCTGTAGCTACTGTCCTCACAGTACAGCCAGAGGGCGAGCTGATTACAACAAAAATGGCTGTGAAATGACAAGCCATCCAAACACAGGTCAAGGACAACACACTGAATAAACAGAGCAGAACCCGGCTGGCTGATGATGAAAACGACACACAACTGAGTGGTTTATAAACAGAATTCACCTCACATAGAACAAATAGCCAGTCTGCTGTCACTGAATCAAATAAAGCAACTGGGCAGAGCCAGAGGCTCCTGAGTTGGGAGGAACAAACACCGACACTTATAAAAATATTTTAAGGGAGGTTTACAAGTGATTTTTTTTCCAAGAAGACAATAAATTTCAACTTCCCGTCAAGGAAAGGATTCAATGTATTTAGGATTTTCATATACTAAATAAGAAGAAGAAATGAAATAAAGAAGTCCCCCTGTAGGTTAGACTAACACACTTTAAGCCTCAGACTATGTGTCTGATTCATCAGAAGTCCAACAGAACACTCATCCCCT